CTCAAAATGTGGGGGAGGCATGGCCTTGTGGAGGCTTTTCATAGTGACTTACAAAGTGATCTTGTAGCATTAATTTAAACCTCTACAGTGTACTGAGATGCAGTCTCTTGTGCACCCAGCAGCTTTTCATGGATTTACAGCCATATGTGCAGTGCAGATGATTCTTGTCAGTTTGATCATCTCAGCATGTGAGGCTGGTGTGTTCAGAGGAGGAGGAAATGTCAGTCTGGATGGAGAGTGAAATGGGTCTGCAGACAGCAGAAGCATTGGTCACATGAGAGCTATGAAGGGCTCTTCTATTTGTAGGCTCTCTGAAGGACATGAAGCTGTCTCTGCTGCTCTCTAAGCCGCACTACAGACTGACATGCATTTAGTCCACACTAAGCAGGAGAGACATGTCTGACCTTTCGGGAAATGTTAGGCTGCAACACTGGCAGGAGCCTATGGTGATTAAATACCAGGACGAAAACACAGCAAAACACAGGCTACATTTACTGCCTTACATTTACCCACCAGCAGCCTCACTAGCTTTCTCCCTCCTCTCCTCTCCTCAGATAATGACATTTTGTACCATCTCACCTCACTTGCACTCTGTCATTCCGACAAGAATATAACAAGAGTCACAACCCCATATTGTGTTGACAAAGAATTCACCTCTGGCCTCAAAGTCCAGCCACAGCTACCTGCTGGGTTTCATCTTTCTGCCCGGAAACACATATTGACGCAGAAAAGTACTTTTGAGCCTTCTCCCCACGTTCATATGATGCAATTCTTAGCACAACTTCTAAAAGACATCCCCACTTCAAAATGTCCATGTAAACCTCTGTTCCTCTCCTCTGTCCCTCCAATTTCCTCTCATAGTTATGACACAAATCTCTCGTGGCCAGCCTTCATGGCTCACATGCCTGTCACAGATGTCAATGTGTAGCCAAATAATTCCTTCGTTGTCATCTTTCTCCTGTTTGTCTCTCACTCTCACCTCTATCTCTCTTTGTGTTTCTCTTCCTGCTTTACCACTGAGGGAGATAAAAAGACAAATAAAAGCACTGCTTCCTCGCTCCGCCTGTCTATCCAGGCATAAAGCACCTCTCTGCGGATCTCTCTCGGTGTGCCCTGGCCCTGATTACAGCTGGCAGCGTCACTGATAATCATGTCATTTAGATGCAGCCTGTCCTCTCCCCCATTAGCAAGTCTAAGCTGAGAGTATCCCAAACACACAGTCAAACGAGCTGCGCTGCTTTACAATAATGTGTTTAACATTCTGAAGGCATTTGTGCTGAGGGTTAAAGGGGGTTTTATACATATATATAAAGCAGTGTGTGTGTTTCGGATCTGGTTTCTTCATATATATATATACATACATATATATATGAAGAAACCAGATCTGTGAGAAATGATTCCTAGATTTGTTTGTGAAATTATTGGTTTTGTCAACAGGAAACTGTGAATTCAGGCAGATAGTTCAGGAAATTCAATTTGGGAGATAACTGGCTAAGCCAAGCTTGAACTTTCAAGTAAGTTTATAATTTTTCATTTAAATTTTTTGATGAGGCTCAGAAAACTCTGGCACAATCTTTCCCTCGACAAACTGAGGCAGCACAACTGATATCATCTAGACAACAGCATCTAGACAACATAGCTGATATCTCATCCTTAAAGGGGAACTTGGCAACTATTTCAATTAATAAACCTGTTTAGAAATCATTTGGATGGTTAAATGGCCTGTTCCGGTGAAAATGGTGACTTTCCCCGCTCCCCCTAGTGTCCCCAGGAAAACCAACCTTGCAACGTAAGTTGGAAATAGGAAGTATCGTGAGAAGCGAGAACAAGCAAGAAACACAAACTGCTTTACGGCTATTCCACATAAACGCACACGCGACGACAAAAGTGAAAACCAGCGAAGAAATGGCTAGAGTTGCCAAGTTCCCCTTTAATGTAAAACATCAAAACACATTTGAAAGCTGTAGAACTAGCTGTAAATACAACATTGATGACAAAATAAATTGCCAATTTTCACATCCATTTGGAGTTATATTCCTACCTACCTGACAAATGTAAGTCCAATATCCTTTCCTTTTAGCTGTTTTTTGTCTCCACCAACCACTGAGGGTTAATTCTGGCTCTTTAGCAGCTAAATGTTCCATTATGTTCACCAGCTAGTTGCTAACTTTGAGGTGTTTTGCTACTGCATGAAATTGAGAGCGGCAAGACTGAACCAAACCAGTTAAGTTCAAACCACAACAATGAGCTGAAAGATTCTAAAATGTTTTTTAGATTCATGGTCCAACATTTTGCCAAAGGACTGCAGTCAGCTGGGTAACAATGGCTCATTGATGGAAATGTTGATTAATGTGTGTTGTCCTTATAAACAGAGAAATGAAATGAGGGCTGAGGGGAACTTCTGAGTCAGTTTGTCATTATGAGTGACCAGGACACATATTCATTTGACCAACTGGTAATACAAAAATAAAGCCCTAAAGATTTCCCGCTGATGAGCTAACTGAAGACCTACTACTCGACTGCACTACTGACTTGTTAACACACCGTAATATCTTCCAGTGTTTATTGTGTTCATCTCACTTCAGTATTTTTTAATGCAGCAGCTAGGATTGTGTGACTGACCAACACCATAAAAAAAAAAATCAACATATGTATGTATTTTTGTATCCAATTAAAATATGAATAATTAAATAGGGAAATATTGATACTTGGAGTCAGTGTATCAACACAAAATTGCCAGGCAAAATAAATGTCACCATACCACTGTGTATGGATTTATTCCACACCCTTTACTTAGCAAACAGAGGAGCGAGTTTCAGACTGAAAGGTCACTGATCACCTCTCTCAACTATTAATGTGTCTAATCTCATAATTATGTAGCAGAGAGTGTTGAAAAGGAGTGACTGTTCTTCATTAACCTATTAAAAAATTCAGTATTGCCGTGACTCATTCGAAGCCCATTTAGATCATGCAGTCATTTCTCTAAACTCTCTCATGACATCATTAGATATCTTTGGCCTGACGACGAGCTAAAGTGAAGTCATAATGTCGGAACACTGAGTGCGCGTGTAAAAGCTACACTGCATAAATCCAGTGGTGCTCGGTGTGCATTATACTTTTATCTGTTGTAGTATGAGAACAGCAGGATGAGCTCACAGCGGCTGCACAAACAAGCACAGTTTGACAGCCATCTCTTTTCTATTTGTACAGTGAAACGTTATTTAAGTTTCTCTGGGACAATTGTGGTACATAGAAAGTTATATTATTTATGTGTTTTCTAGCAGATTTTACAGCCCTTTTTTTTAAGGATGTACTCACAATTTTCTTCTACTGTGTCTTCTGAGCATAATTGAAGCTTTTATCTACTTTTAATGTCAGTATTTAATGACAGTAGCCACAACTAGTGTCAGTAAAATCACACATCCACAGGGACAGATTCTAATGTGTCTGCTCATTGCTCTAAACTCAGATGCTCAGCTTTTCAGATTTTAGCACATCATTGTTAATGCAGTTCTTTATAGACTGATGCACTGCACACTGTTGTCTTCACCTTTTTTTCTACATTTTTGTACATTCTTCTTTTCTGTAATCTGAGCCTGTTCTCGTCTGTTTGTCCACCTATTAAAGTTTTTCCTCTCTTGTGTAACTCTTTTGTCTTTCGTTTATGGAAATGTTTTTTAGGCCGACACAGTTTGAGAACTTAAGCTGTGGGTGTGATCCGGGCACCTACAGCCATATGTTTTGGTCTTGTCTGCGGCTGGAGGGTTTTTGGATAGGGGTTTTAATACACTTTCAGGTGCACGTAGCACAGTTCTTAATCCTAACCCTCTGACAACAAAAATCACAGCTAACCAAATGGAACAATATGGCACCACCATCTCATAAACACTGGCTGGAGTAAGTAATGGCACACCTCAAACTCAGCTACAGAAAACTACTCTTGGCTCAACCAGAAAGTTTATAAGATCTGGCAACCTTCCTGCTACATTCTCAAAATTGGACAAATCCCCATGAACATGCATGATTTAACCCCCGCTGATATAATTAATGTGTGGGACAGATGTAGGCTAGGGTTGATGTTGATTTGTATGCGGTGGTAGGGGTGGGGGGCTGTGTGAGCAGTTTCTTTGTTGATTTGTATTTTGAAATAGTAACAATAGTGACTGTGTCTTACTGCCTTTTGTCTCTTGTCTTCTTCACAGTGTTGTGAAATCTATCCTGACCACATTCATCTGCGGCTTGTGGGACTCACCATCAGACAAACCAGACTGGCACCGGACCAAGGGTGAAATCTGGTATTGTGCTCTGGATTCGCCTTATCTGCTTGCTGTTTACTAACAGTCGCAGAGTCCATCACTTGCAGCAGCGCTGTTATCTCAGCGACCCAGGCAACATGAGTAGAATGCTAGAGCAGCTGTTTTAGTCTCAGGCCAAAGTGTGTGTGTCAGTGTGTGTTAATATGTGTGTTTGTGTGCGTTTGAGCCCCCTCTCATACAACAACACAAAAACAATGGAGCATCACGCACAGATGAAAATTATCCAAACTGCAACTAGTGAAGCCTAATCAATCTTTTTTTTTACTTTTCATGTGCAAAAGAAGTTGCTAATTTATTCAGAAATGTTAAGCTGATAAACATTTTAATCCTGTAGCTGTGTGAAACAAGGCTTTTAAAGGGTAACTACTTAATGGCTCTAAACCAATGCGCCCACAACAGAAAGAAACAGCCCAAAGGCCCAATTTTAAACCTTTGTCTGAGCTAATGTTTTTAAATCTGAAGCCACTTTCCCAAATATGTTTAGAGCAAAGATTTTATTGTAAACGTCACAAATTGAAAAATAAAGAGTCTAAAACTACAATCTAAATACATATATAGCACAACCGACATAATTATTGCAATCAAGTGTGGTGCAGTGGACACATTTGTCTGAACTTTTAAGGTTGGGGCATTATAATCTCTTTAGGATAAAACTTTGTTTGAGAAAGATCAGCAGAATCTCACCCTGTGGAGGGGGTCATGATGCAGCCTCCACGATCAACAGTCATCCTGCAGCCACAGCCGCGCTCTGGGGTGTCGTGGTTCATGCCAAAATTGTGTCCCAGCTCGTGTGCCAAAGTCACAGCTGCACCCAGTGGGTTCTCAGAGTGATCCTGTGATGGGAAAAAAGGGGAAACCCAGATCATGAGAACATGTAAACTATGTATAATCTTGTATGTTTGACTATGTGTAAAATTCAATCAAAGATACCTAAGCAAGCTTTGAGTGAAAACCAAGCCATACTAAAGTGCACTGTCACTCACAAAAAGGAAAAAAAATGAAAGAAAGGAAAAAAAAAAAAGTTCAAAGAAGACAATTTTTAAGCTGCAGATTCCCAAAACAGTTCTGTAACTGTCCGATCTGCCCCCTCATCCTCCTTCTATTACTTATTCTCCTCATGGAGGCCTGAATTCATCTGCCATTCCATTACCCCTGCAGACCCAATCATACCCGCTGCTAGTGGAAACAGCTACTGCAGTGAGCTCTATAAACCTACCACTGTACGACTCGCTGCATTGATAAGCGAGACAACTGTCCTTCCTGAGGCAGAGAGAGAGGCAGAATGACGAGAGAGAGGTGGAAGTTTTAGTTTTACCTAGTTTTGTAGATAGACAGGATGAGCCAAATGAGTTGTTTAAGTTTTTAGTTTTTAAACATTTTGAGTGTGTAGTGTGTAGTGCCAGTGGAACACAGTTCAATACACTGACCATCCATAATTTGCATAATGCATACAATTCCCCTATTAATATCGGAAAAATACTGATATTGTGACATTTAAGTAGGGGTGCCCAAACTTTTTGCCTTGGAGGGCCAAAACTGAAGTGGTGGGCTATGGACAGAAGCAAAGACCTATTGTTTCTATTGTTAAGATGTAAACTGATTCTAGGATCTCAAGTTCCCTTAATTGACTGCCTTAACAACAAAATCTGAAGCTCACTAATCAACATATGTACTGAATATACATACCAAAATAAAATAAAGAAAGTGAAGTACAGAGAAGTATGTTCCAGCCTTACCACAGATAAATGCTGCATGTTAGTTGCATATTTAACAAGCCTGATCGATATAACAACCCCCCCTCCAAAGACGCTTGTAATTAAACTCTTACTAATATGCATGAGCCAGCATTTTGTATCTGGCAACCCCTGAGACAGAGGTCGCCCATGTAGCTACAGTCTATCTTCCTTTAATGTTCCCTGCCATGAACATGAGAAAATCACATGCTTCCTATGAAGGCAGGGTCATATGTCAAAGTTGAGGGCAAGCCTATTTTTATTTTCTGCACTGATTACAGAGCAGCATCGTGGGGAGCTGCACCCTGCCTTTTAACAAGAAGGATGGGAAAACTTTCCCCTTCTTCTGTCATGTTTATCAGTGTGTGTCTCTATGTGTGTGTGTCCAATTCATAGTTGAGTGCTTCCTCACAAAAAAGTGTAATATCAAAGTCAGCAGAAATGGATGAAACTCTTAGAAGCCACAGTCATTACTTTGAAGTGGTTACATATAAGCCATTGTTGTGATGGCGAGAATTTGATAGTGTTGGTTACGAGGAAATGCTCTGATATCATTTCTAGCCATGTGAGAAAATAACTCCCAGACAAGAAAAAAAAAAGTGGATATAGTTTGCTGTCACAGTTTAAACCTAACCATTCACATATAAAGACCCATGTGAGTTTACTTGGAAAAATAAATAACGTTATGATGTATAAACTGTGAGAACATGTGGACCAAATAAGAGGATTTGAGGCTGATTAACACACATGGCGGGGTATGGTTTGAGAAATGGTTAATGTCATCTGGCCGCCTTCTAACCGGTTACATTGCCCTTTAATCTCGGTCCAAACCATCTTGCCATCTGTAAGTAATGGGGAAGACAAACATCTGGAGAAGCCTCACCACAGCCATGGCCAGCAGAAAACACATCTATTAAAGGAGGATGCACATCTGGACTGGGGCGTAATGGCGTTGGCTTGATAACCACTTTGCGATTTGGCATGGGTGTCAAGTGCTACAGCAGGCAGAGGAGACCAACAGGAAGCTTATTTACTATGTGTGATAAATGTGTGTACCTGGGGTGATACACAGTTGTGTGTTAAAAAAAAAAAAAAAAAGCATTTTGATTCAAATGTGTGGCATAAACAATTTATCACATCTCATAAAAATGTAAATGTGGTTTTGTTTAAATGCTGTGGCCTTTTGATTTACCCTGTGCCCCACTAACCCTTTTAGAGATGTCACAGGAAAGCCTGATTGAATGAATTCAAATGACCTTACAAGGGCGTGCGTGTCTGCACTACAATCCTTCTGAGGGTATATTTTTACATATTCCTTTGTGCACATGTTTGCAGTAATGATGAGGGCATAAATGTTGAGGGAGTGCCAGCACAAATATCATTATGTTTAAAAGCATGACTTCCTGCCAGACCTGTCCGTAAATGTGCTTCCAGATAACAGCGAACACCTTTTCTGTGTAAATCACGTCTGGGTTGTGTTAGCTGGCTGAATCTGAACAATATCTGGCTGAATACTGATACAATCAGGCTACACATAGGAAGAGGAGGGTGGAGGCATGGTGGGTGCAGCAAGGTTTTGTACTCACCATGACAATGCCTCCAGACTGCTCAACTGTGCACATGCTCATAATGGGTGCCATGCCAATGGTGGTACCCTGGAAGTAAACCCCGCTGCAAAGGACAGAGGACAGAAGTAGAGTGGAGAGTAGATAAAGATGTTATGGGAGACTCCATTATTGCAGCTGGTTTTCCAAATCCATTTAATAGTTTAGATTAGGTTTAGATGAATCTCTTACTAGGTTCAGATGTAGTGTATTAACTTTGTTCAGAAATTACAAATAGTTAAAAAAATTATATTATCTGCAATCAAAAATAGCATGTTCTGGATGTAACCACAGTTAACAAACAAGGTAGATGAAGAGAAGTCAGGAGAAGACAAACACATGAAAAAAAACAATACAGAGCCATATTTCAATGGAATAGTAAACTAAAGTGAAGGCAGGCCTAAAATACTTAAATAAGCAAAATAAGCTTTAACTTTCTTTGCATTATGAATTCAGATATATTATTATTAGTGGTAGTTTGTTGATAGTACTAATTGATTTGTACCTGCCGAGGTGACAACTAATGGGAATCAAAATAAACAATGTTTTTAGATAACTGCAGTGACATTAATGGTAAACAATGGCTGACTAGTTAGGAAATTAGTGTTTTGTGTACCAATATGAATAACTGTTTGTTAATTTGTGGCCTCAATTTCTTCTGGTAAATTAATTTTCCACCTGATGAGCTGAGCATTGTCGTGAGGTTTCTGGGGCAGCAGTTTGACTTTCCTCCAGTCTAGGAACTCGTGCAGGGTGGTGAAGGGATCCTGGGTGATGGGACATTTATCAGAGTCACTCCACACCTCAAGACCCACCAGGGCCACCCGGATGTCCAGGGCCCTGTAGAACTGAAGTGCAGCATGTGGATAAGGAGAGAGTGAGTGTGGATAGAAAGGCCAGGAGATTGATAAGGCTTACATAACATGAATGATCAAAACACCTTCATACAGATGTGTGAGACACTATAGACTTTTATCCTTGCTTCAATTCACTAAATTACATTACATTTCACTTCGGCAGCCCTCAATCCTCTCTTGTGTGCATCAGCATCCTGTTTTTCACATGATCAGAGCATGTCTTTTCCATGTCTCTATCTATGCTTTCCTTATGCAAATCCATCTGCCTGCTGTATCTGCGAGCTATAGATCCACAGCCCTGGCAGAGGTTTTAGACAGACTAAAAGCAGCTGTTCTAGTAGGACATTAATATATCACAGAGTCATCCCATTAATCTCTGCTGCCAGCGATTTTTCTATTTTAAAAAAGTGATTTATCCCTCCTGTGCAAAGGGGAGAGGATGTTTTACCTTGTCCACATAATTGGCTATCTCTGCCAGTCTCTGTTTCACCTTCTCCACGTCCCTCCCCTGTTTCTGAAACTGAAAACAAAATTACATGTAATCAGTGGTAGAAATTGGAACATTTCAATAACACCCACAAGTAAGATGTGTTGCATGAAGACATGAATAATACTGTAGTTAGTCATTTTCAGAACTAAAAAGCATGAAACAACACAGAACCCCCGCAAAGGCAATACGTTTTACTGTGTGTTAGGCAGCTTGTCAAGCTGTGACCATCTGGATCTAGAAAAATCTCCCAGTGTTAGAGAGACGAATGGCACGGCCGCAGGGAGCAGGTATATTGGCAGCTCTGACAGCCTGCAAAGCTTTGGATCCAAATAGTAGCAAAGTCAGACCCTCTATTTCCACCCTACTGTGCATCCACCTGTGTTCGGTGCTGGACTTCTGGAATCTGAGCCTGACAACATACTTGATCCCTTATCCCGTTTTTTTTCTTTCATTTCCATTCAGGTTGGTGGCACTAGCAGAGGGCCGCCAGGAGGAAACCCCACAATGAGCTCGTCAGTGCTTACGGGAGACTCTTCTGTATCCACATGGCTTTTTCCGGTTTCCTGTCTAGTCCGCTGGGGAATCGTTCAGCACTTCCCGTCAAACGGAGCCTCTGCCACAAGACCACACTGCTTGTTGCACACTGACCTAATTCTGCGGCCCCAGCGGGACCTGCTCTACTGTTACTACAGCTTACCCTGCTCTTTTTGTCTACTTATACCATGAAGGGTTAGTGTGTTGTTTACTGTATTCGTAAATGGAATGTGCATTACCTCTCTGTTGTCCGCAACAATGATCAGCTCTACATACTTAGTTGTCTTCTGAGCATTTCTTTTATGCTGAAGTAAAAACAGAAATGTTGCATGTTAGAAATGTTTTGAAAAAAAGGACTTTTGTCCATTTGATCCTCCTGAAGATCTGACTTCACATTTCAAGTACTGGCAAATATCATAGACACACGACTGATGTACTATTGCTTCCTGTGGGCCTAAATTAAAACCCTTTCAGGCCTGCAATGGCTACAAAATCTTTCAATACACTTATTTTTGCTTTCTAAGAAAAGAAAATACCAATCTAATGCCTGTTAAGGTAGAATTGACCTTCTAAAAACTTGAAGCCCAGATATTACTCAGGGGTCATTAGGTGCTGTATGTTGGTAAGTTTCGCTTTCTGAATCAAATGGAGATTTTAATGCTGGGAATAGTGGCAGATGGATGCTGCACCTGCTCCATGTAAATCATTGGCCAAACCTGCATGGGCCCTCCACTTTGGGCTCTAAGCACAGATAAAATGTGTCAAGCCCAAGGCAACACCCTCTGGATCTTATCCAAACTGGTCGGCTTGCCAATTTGCTGATCTTTGGTCAAACACCAATTTATCTTTCATCAAGTGAATATTAATCTTACCCTTCAGAAACGTTTGGCATTTAAATACAACAAAAGAAATGCTCAAATTGATGACAATATAGGTTTGAACTGTGATACCCATTGGCTCTAACACAAGTTTTGCAATAAAAAAAACCCATAATACTAATCTCACCCTCGTGTGGAAGGATTGGAAGGGGTTTTTGATGTGGTTTTCAGGGGCAACAGAGGACATGTTGAAGCCGTGGCCACAGTCTCCTGGTGTCAGTTTGAGTTCTTCCACTCGGTAGATGGAGTGGGTACAGTTGCCATGGCCAGACACCGGCTCAATGATGAATGTCTTGTTTTTAAGCGCGATGAAGCCTCTGCAGGGACAGCAGCACAACAAAGTCTGACAACAAAGCTTCAAAGCATAACCTCTCTCAATCTCTCAAATGCAGAATTTGATTGAATGAGGTTCTCTCTAATGGAATATTTGACAGCCCTTTTTTTTTTCTTCCAACAAGCCAACTTTTACTGAAGCCAAATGAATCTATGAAACTATGAAACTTTTTATTTTGGCAAGGCACCCAGAGATCCTAAACATCATCCTTGTTAGGGTTAAAACTCCATGCTCTTTCAAATTCACAAATGAGTTCAGTATTATTATATACAACAATACCACTACAATATTAAATACACACAAAATTAAATTTTAATGTTCTTTGTCATTAGCTGTTGATAAAAGGTTGCCATGGCAAACTAAACATTTTCTTGTCCAGAAATGTTTTCTTCCTGTTTAATTAAGCAGAAGATGGCGCCATGATGTGTTATGGCTTTTACTGATGCACAAATCTTCCAATTGTGGTTGGTCATTAGCAACAGCAAGATGCCAATTACTGCCAAAATGAGCACAGATATTTACTGGACGCCTCTGTGGACAAAGACAATGAGGTGTGACATTTTCTCCTATTCCTGCGAGTCACACACCAACTTACTGACAGCGCGCTTAAGGGGCTTAAGAGCGATGGGCTGCTGTTCAGACTGACTTAAGTAAATATAAACATTGCAGTGGCAAATAGCACTTAAAGGGCAGAGTTGAGATGCTGCTCGAATACAAAATGATGGGTTATGTTTCTTACCGAAGGCCTGAGCAGGTGCTGAGGGTGACATCAGAGTTTGGATGCTCTTGAACTTCCCCATGGTAGTAGCAGTTATTCTAAAAGACATGAATTGTTCACTTAAAGCTAGGGTTGGAAAAGTATTTCAGGAGCATTTTTTGTTATATTTATTTATACATCCCAACAGAAATCAATACATTATCAAGGTAAATATTTGGTTTGTTTTGTTTTGGGGAGGATTTGCTTTTTTCTTGAACAACGTAGTACATAGAACTAGGTAGGTCCTCTCCCCAATCACTCATCTCGACTACTACTCGTCCTCCAGCAGTAGTCCAGCACTGTGTTGGGGGAGTGGTTTTGCAGGGAGACCTTTGATTGGATACTTTCAAATTCTCGGTCTCTGGCGTCTCTTCTCCTAATGTGACCTGTCCTAGCTTTAAAAGCCTTTACATACTGTAGATGAAAACAAGATTCACCCACTGGATAATGTAATTAAATATGTATTACAGTTTAAAAAAAAAACACAAACGCTGCTTGTCACTGCTCTTCTGACATCAAAAGAGGACAACATACAATGCAAATGAAGTTATTTTCTTTGAAATTAGCATGCTCTTTAGAACAGTATTTGCCTTCTATCCTTCTCCATACAAACAGGCCCTTTTGAAAAATGAATGCAACACACACAGTTGAAGGGAGACCAAGGAAAACTGACACGGATGGGAGGTGACAGTTATATGGTAATTGTTTTTCCTTCGTTATTCTACCAGAATGGTATAGTAGAGGATGTTTAAGCCTCCTCAGACACACTGAAAACTCTGTTGTCTGAGCACAAGGAGAGCAGAGGAAGTGACTCTCGTTAAAAGGGAATACAGACCTCCGTTTACTGTCCAGCAGCACTCCAGTCCTCTTAAATCAACTGTCATTAGTCACTATGCTGACTATTTATCATCCCCAAATATTGAACTGAAGGGGGAAATACTGAGGGGTGAGGTTTTTGCAAAAATACAGTTGGTTCCAACGTCTGTTTGATAAGTGCAATACTGCACAAGTTACAGAGCCAGGTGGTGATGGAATTTTGTAGATTCATAACATTAAGTATAAAAATAGAGCAGCAACAAAGGGTCTGTGCTTAGGATGTGCTTGACCTAGATTACTTCACCTTTCATACAAGAAAACATCAGGCAGCAAAAGTGATCGTCTCCTCAGTTATCCTCAATGTGTCTGTGACTTTTAAAGTACCTAAATGCATTCAAAGTAAAATATTCAGTCAAAAGCTCATTTGGAGAAAATGTCCTGAAGCTACAAAAAAAGCTGAACAGAGATGGAATTCGCCTTAGTTAACCCCATAAAAAAACCCAGTTTTACAAGAAATTCTGTGGGCTTCAAAAAATTTATTTGTAATGACTGACCCACTGCCAAGCTACTACTTGTTAAGGAGTTAATTAATCACTTAATTTATAGTTCCTGCTTCAGTTTATTTTATAGATGTTGACCGGTATGCTAAAGGAGCAGCAGTAAAATCATATTTTCACAGTTTCTGTTTTGTCTTATGAGATAATTCTCAGACAGGCAGAGTTTATTTACAGTACATGTCTCTCCACTGATCCCTGATTAACACATGCCTGATTGCTGAGTTCAGTGACAGCAGGTACTGGAAGTGTGCAGCTGTGTGAGGCTTATCTAAGACAATACAGTATGTCTGTCTGACAGCCTGATGCAACATCCTCCCACTCAAAATTAAAGGTGTGAGAGAGAGAGAGAATGGAAAACGCTGTTTGCATAACTTTGTGGGATATAGACTTGTCAGTCATTGCAGAGTTACCAAACATTTCTCCTCCAAGCTGTAAGTGACCTTTCAAACTGTCCATGCCGCTGTTCAATTAAACAGTGATTCAATCCGAGTGCCGCACAAAGGCAAGGGACTGTTAACTTTGTTAAAAAGAGAGTAGGGGTGTACTGTAGGTACCGAGGGTGCAATTTCTTCCGGACCTGACAGCGCAGCATATACGCCTACAAATACTCTAGTTGGCCAATAAATGCCAGAAGAAGAAGAACAACATGTCGAAGACAGCGACGAGTTCAGCTATACAGCTGATTCACTCGGAAAACTTTTGTGCACTCTCTCGTCTGTGTGAGCTCCTACTCTGGGGCGAGACATAGAGTGGTGGGAAGCCGCACACTCTTCACGCCACAAATAAAAAGCAAAAAAAGAGTAATTTATTCATGTTCCACGTAAAAGATGTACAGACGAGGAAAATAAACACTACAGTACATTTAGGTAACTCAGGTAAAGGCTGCACTGAAGCAACAAACTCTGCAGGACACTTAAAAAGGGAGAAAGAAATTAAACAAGACAAGACAAAAAATATTACAGAGACAGTTTGTTAGAATATTTTATAGTCTACTTTGTTTATTAGTTATATATATATTAGTTATATATATAGGCTATATTAATATTAATACATTATATATAAAAACCATTAAGGAACAGCTTGGTTGCAGGGAAGTTTTTCTTAATGCAATGCAGAGCTATTAACTGGGACTCAGATAATAATCTGATATTCAATGTGTGTTATGGCAAAAAAACAACTTGATTGGGACATTTTTACTGTGGTATCGACTACTACATTTCTGTTATCATTATCCCTCCTCTTCAATGGCTGGTGATAACAGTGAAATATTTCTTCTACCAAAGTGGAAGTAAAAAAAATACCTTCATGACAGAATGAAGAAGCAATTATGCCTGAATTTTCTCTTGTGAGCCACATACACGGAGCCACAGTGAGTGGCCTTGATAAGTACTTGAAATTCAAATGAAGATCAATCTTTTCTTCCTTTTCAAAAGAATAGCAGATGCTTTGCTTTACAAAGCTACCGTACATGTACCGGCAGAATTAAAAAAGTAGCCAGGAATAGATCAGCTGCTAAAAGGGGATTCAATAATAAAATCCTGATGGCAATGTTGGCTTAAAAACAGCCATCATAAAATACAGCTTATCCTCAAGTAGGCCACAGGCTAGACGTCCTGTTCAGCAACAGCCAGAAGCTTTCAAATACACACTGGTCACATTATAGATTGATTAAAAAAACAAACAAAAAACAACTATCTAATTTCAGTCCTAAATTTGATTAACTAATGCATAAGAGACAGTGTAGATCAAATACAATACCGATCCCCTATAAGTAAAAAAACATCTGTCTACATGAATGTTTTTAAAGGGTCAGTTTTTACAGCGTGACTTCGTAGTGCCACTGCACGTCAATTCGACCATAAATGTCAAAAGCACTCCAGTGCCACCGTACCGTGAAGTTGTGAGCACCGGTGACTGCACTTCCATCCTCCCGGTAATGTGTCTCAGTGTAATGGCTTGCAAAAAGACCCCTATGAAGAGAGCAAAAAAAGAGGAAAGAGACACATCAAACACCCTGGCATTTTTTTAAAAACAATCTGAATAGATAAAAAAAAAAGTTTGTCTAAGACAACTCTACCCAAGAGTTGATTTTGTGTGTGCATTCAGTTTTGCTTGTGAGGATTTTGGGGGTTAATGCTTAACATTCTGAGGCAAGGAGAGACTTGATTTTCTGTGAATTTATTAGGTGATTTGTACGTGTCCTTGAATCCCCTGGCATTCAGCACGACTGAGTAGAATCCCTGCTGAGGTAATTATTTTGTGTATGTGCGTTTCTGTGCACATGCGTGTCTATGGACATATTTTAAACTGAGTGTCAATGTGTATGTGTGTGGGTTTTCCTCTCAAGGCCATGAGCAGATGGACACAGTGAGCCCCACCCCAAGCATTGGCAAAGGAGCAGCAGGAACACCCATCTTTTGCAGCTGCATAATCACACTGACATCAGGCAGGATGATCTCAGGATGTGTTTGAATGTGTGAGTGTATGTATGAGAAAGAGAGAGAAAGTGTGAGAAGGTAACAGCAAGTGAAAAATGCAGAAGAGTGACAACGTTGTCAATAACTCTGTATGTGACATGATTTAAGATTCCTGGCCAAAATAAAACAAACTCACCACACCATGGTCCAACAGTAAATATAATGCAAAGTAGTCAATTTAAGTCTGTGTGCTGAGTGCATAACTGCCATGTCAACACTAAAAATGTCAGAAAAGTATCACAAATTGGCCGACTTTTTTTTTTTTCTGCGAAAAACATGGGATTCATAAAGACAGAAGGGGAGATCTAGAGGATTTAAAAAACTGGAGCGCAGTGTTTGTCCAAATCACAGTGGGAACCATTCATATCCCACAGTGCTCTGCCATCCCACACAGCTTGCATGGACAACAAACCTTAATTAGATGAGAGTGGAAAAGCCAATAATTGACTTTTTCTTAACTTCAGCACCATTTAATATCTTATCTGTACATTTAAAGTTAATTTTTTATGACCTGTTCAAAAAAAGGATCAATCCTCTGTGGCCCTAGCCTGGCCACATTTAACTTCATTAAATACTTATTATCGCTTTAATGTGCCTTATCATGCCATTAGCAAGCTCTAAACCAAATCTGAAAAGCCAACGGCCAGTAATCACTTTAAAGAGCCCGGTATGTCTCATTAAAAATGGATGACACATCAGAGGGTAGAATGTACTTAAAATATTCCCAAAATATGTATCTTTATACTTAACTTGCAAAAGCAGTGTTTAAAAAGTGACACTGATAAATAGCCCCCTCCCACCATAACACCAGCACGATACTATAATGTTTTTGTTGAAAGGAGGGCAAATTCAAAATGCTCTAATAAGGGATGTTTTCGCAGTAAAGATGGGATTTGTGTCATGTGAGCGGTAATTCCGAGCAAATGCTCCCGTGCTGTGTTTTGAGGACATGTTTGGGAGAGCCAGCTTAGGGCAGCATGGCCCCTGGTACTACGACACATACTGTATTAAATCTGCAGATTTTACATGATGGAATCTGCCTGTAATCAACTCCCTGGCAAGAGTTTTTGAGGCCATGAATGTTTACTGTGTGTTGAGGAGAGTTTCCTCTCCGCCCTTGCTGGCGACTTTAGCTCTGTCGCGTGGAACTGTGTATCTGATGATCAGATTGCCTTGGTTGTGGATGGATGTGTCCCTCTTTGCCTTTTTTAGCTGTTGCACTGACTACAACTTTAAAAACAGTCCTCAATTTAACTTATTCCTGAGCGCATTCAAAAAAAGGTTTTAATTTGACATTTTGATTGAGAGCCAACAGAGAATGTCATCCTCACTGCACCTAAAATGTGTTTGGTCGTGTTTTTCCACTAAACCGTAAGCAATGGAGGAGAGCGAGTTTTTCTCTGAATACCAGAATACTTCCATGAGATTATACCTCCTTTCTTAGCAACAACTACCCAATTCCATCCCTATTTTTGTCAAGAGGAACATGCAGCCAATCAAATGCAATTTAGATGGAGTGCAGCAGATGAGAATTGGTCAGAAAATCGCCTCAGTTCTCACCAGAAACCTCTTCTATATGAAAGTACTGCTTTCAGTTTTCCTCACTTTGTAAGAGACAGGTGATAAAATGTATGAATGCAAGTGAAATACAGAGCCTCTGACGGATGTGCTAAATGACTTTCTATTTTACCATGCACCTTCACTTCACATGAGTAATAATTTATTACGCAACTGCAATTTTAGACAAAAGTGTAGCATGTTTTATAAGCTTCCCTATGAAGTGGTAGTGTGTGTCTTTGCTATTTTACTGCTTGATATTAAGATATTCTTTTTTTAATATACTTTTGAAAGAAAAACTTTCAATATTTCTCTTCCGAAATGTTATATAAATCTCCTGTAACTGCTTGAGTCAATAACCATTGATTCAATGCTCTTAAGTGTGTGTTGCGATTCATTAGACACCGTCTAACATCTAATTAAAGTTTCACTAATAGTCGCCCAGGTTAATTGTGATGAATGAGGGGCTCTTTAATAGCACCTCAGGGAGGCAGAAAATACCGTTATTTGTCCTAAAAAATAATCTCCCATCTCTTCAAAATCTTACAAAGTGCTCTTCAGAATTAATTTAATTTCTCTGAAAATTAATTTACGGCATGAATTATTGATTGTTTCTAAAAGCCAGATGAATGATTTCCACACTTCCCCTAAAAGCCTTGTATGTTGTCCGTGCTTATATTGTGTGATGAACATAATTAGGAGTATGGTTTACTAGTTGGAAAAGGTGTTCATGCAGATCTTTGTCATCCTTTCAACCTCCCTGATCCCTATTGTCTCAGATTAACATATGTTCCTGTTCCCTTTCCATTTCTTGACATAAATGGATTGCCGACATATATCCTACACAACAATCAATGAATGGCTGCCAGAGATATGACTAGCACAATGCAGGGACCAAACACACGAGGACACAGCAGAAAAACTCATTACAGTAGACCATACAAAATCCCTCTTCCTTTTTCTGCTGCATGAAAAAACGGTCAGATATGAGTTTCTGTCATATCTGAAATTATGGGAGGTGGAACTGTTGTTGCTGAACCAAACATGTTTTGGTGAGTTTTATTTGAAAAGAACAAATCAAACCTAGCAGACACAGACTCACCACAGCGGCATAATTGATGAAGCCGAAACAGGATATGTTGCATGTTGTTTACATGAATCAGTGTTTTTAATTTCATCCTTTTCTCAACCATCCAGAAAGTACAATGTTCTGTGCAAATTTAAAGCGCTGAGCCTCATTTACATATATGTGACTCCATGCCTCATGTAATAATTCACCATTACACAAAGCCCCTTGAGCATGAAACCATTTGAGAGAAATGTGGCTCCTCTTGCAGTCTCTCTGCTTCCTTTGAAGACTGCTAACTTCAGTGATTTCTTTTAATCCCCTCTACCCCACGAGCCTAACCCTAAGCCTTCCTTCCTATAGCTGCTACTTATGGTACTGTATGCCTAACTTGAAAAAGGAGCAGACTACTACAGAAAGAGAGAGAGATGAAGAAGAGAGGAGGAACTAAAGAGGTGTGGTTGACAAGTCTAATTCTATTTCCACATACAGATGCGTTCCAAATTGATTTACATACAGCTCAATGTCCCTTCAGCTTAGGCTTGACTGTATCGGGTGCACTGGAGTGTACAAAGCCAGCAAAGACGGAGAGACAGAGATGAGGGTGAGAGGAGTGGAGGGAGCAAAACAGAAAAATCCCCTGAACTGCAGAATTATAGGAGTGCCTTCCTTCACTCTACTTCTCTGGCTTGATAAAAGATTACTCACATACATTTGTACAACTCTTGGTAACAATCACATAACTATTGTGAAAATACAGCAAGTCACAAAATGAATCTGTTCTTTATAGGTGTAAATTTTATCATGTTAACTATATCATTAGTTTGGTAGCAGGCTCTCCGGTATATGTTCGTCCTAAATCTGGTTTCAACCAGGTTGTCTCCCTGAAATTTAAGGTGTCCAGCCACACTAGTAGATATTTGAGACTATAGACTAAACGCTTCATTTATTTGAGCTAAATGCTTACATAAGCAGGCTAACATGCTCTCAATTATAATGTTAACATGCTTATGTTTAGCAAGTATTTAATGTTTACACTGTCCACAATCTTAGTTTAGCATGTTAGCGTGCTAGTACAGTTAAGATGAGATGATGAGAATGTCATTAAGAGAGAAATTTGTAATTTGACCTGATGGTGATGCTAAATAAAAAATGTCAAGGAAACACCAAAGATATTACTATTCATCGTATGGGGAACATGTCATGCAATCCTTCCATTAGTTGTGGAGTCATTTCAGAGGAAAAGTCAGGTGAGCCAATCCATCAAGCAGACATGGAGATATTTCACTAGAAAAATTGTAAATCAATTGGTACACACAATGTCACTGTACAATGTCAATGCCAGATTGATTAGGATCCTTCCCTGGGGACCTTGACTGGCTGTAACAAATTCCATGGAGGTCAGTAAATTACCAAAGTCATTAGGATTCATCCTCTGGGGCCCACAAATGTCTGTACTAAAGTTCATGCCAATCCATTCCATCCTATACTCGTCTACTTCAGTCTGGACCAAAGTGGTGGACTGACCAACCAACTGACTCTCTGAACCGTCTCTGTCCTGCTGCTGGTATGGCTGAAAAAGTCACATTAATGAGAAAGCAGACAAAAATTGTCCAATAAAAATGTTCCAGCAGGCAGCAGACCAATATCAAACAAGCAGGCGGATGGGCCCAGTCTATTTAAATATTGACTGACCAAAGCAAAGATAGCTCCTTAATGAGTCAAGATCCCTCTTTGCTTAGATAGAAGTCACAGAGAGAGCAGCTCACTTTTAAATCATTCTGCAGTGAGTTCAGAAAGCACTAGATGATTTCCCAAAATAAGATTCTCATCATAGGGAAAAGAAAGACAACCAAATGAGACAATAAAT